AATGCCGAAGTTCAAGGTAATTGCAGTGTGTATGAAATTTTGCCGCCGCACGTCGGAAGGTTATAATGCATTCCAGTGCTCTCACTCTCACTCTCTCTCTCCTCCCTTCCACCCTCCCGCGTCACCTTTTTGCATGTAATTTCGCATGTTGTTTCTCGCTCATTGATTCGCTTCCTTATGGTCTATCCTTTGCCTTTATTCTTCGCACACGTATGCGCTCTTCTCGCTCGCGCGCATTCCGCGAATAATTTCACACTCGTTGTGTGCGTACGTGTAGTTCGTATTATATCAATTTGTGGCCTGGTGGTGGTCTCGAGCTGCGGTGCCGCTAAGTGCTTTATGAGTTTCAATGGAGAGTCTCGTTTCGTTTCTCTTTTTATATAAGTTAAGTCCGCGGATCGAGTGTTGAATGTTGTGACGAGCGAAGATATTGGCGAGGGGAGATATATTGATTTGTTCGGTGTTGATTGATCGGTAAATCTTAGTGTTTTTAATCGAATATCTCATTGTGTAATTAATTTTTCTTGGTACGTGTAGTGTTAATATAATTTTATCGCTCTGCTTTGCTATTTGTTTTAATAAGTAATTTTATTCGTTTATTATCAAGATCAAGCATGAGTGCGGTATGTCAATCAAGATATTCAAGTCTGTTGATAGAACATGAAGAGCAGTTATAACAAAGAAGATACATCAAAGAAATATGCTTCCTTTTCCAACCTTGAATATATTAAAAGCACCAAAACATCTGTTGGTGTAAGTTTTTCATATGAAACTTTGATTTTACATGATTGCACTTGGTTTTCCCTTTAGTGTTATTTTGTGTTAGCCAATAATTTTATTAAATTATGCCAAGATCTTACATGAAAGTATTACTACTATTTTAATTTACAAAAGTATTATTTTGATTTCCATAGATGTGAATAAGCAGCTTGAGATTTTTAGTTATTATTATGTATTTTATTAAATTACCAGAACGGATCATTATTTATTAACTAGTTTTTAAAATATGCTAATTTAAAATTAGCCTTTAATTTAATTGACACTATATTTTAGAATTATTATGTAAAAATTTTCTAAAATCTGAAAAAACATAGCAACTCTATATTCTTTGTTATTTGCTTAAATTTTTTATTGTACTGGCTTTATAAATTGGTAAAATAAAAAATTGTTGAATAGTACTTATAGGTTTTATTATGAATTTAATTATTTCAGGATAATTTTATTAAAAGTATTTTAAAATTTTGTTATTTTTTAGGCTAGCGAACCTATACAACACGATGCTGTGATTGAAAAGTCTGCTTCTGAGACTTCGAAAAATGTACATCTGCATCATTCAGTGCAGCCTTGTCCATTTACATTTTTAACAGCTGTAAAATGGAAGTTTGTACAAGGCAGGCATTATCTTACAAGTAAGGACGCTTATGAGCCAGAGCAAATCAACGAAGAAGTTGTAGATACAATGGCATTCTTAAAACCATTAAAAGTGCCAGATTTGAAGATATCCTCAAAGACTGATTATTCCTCTCGGGAGAGTCTTTTATCTAACGAAGAACTGTCTAAAAAAATTGAAGCTGCTCATAGAGATGAAATGTCGAAGTGTACTGACAGGGTGCCAAGAAAACTTGAATTTTCTTCTTCTTCTGCTACATCAATGTTAAATTATGAAAATATTGATCCTAAAGTCTCAGAGTTTTTAGTATCCAAAAAGAAAGATCTTGCCAGAGATAGTTCTCGAGAAAAAGAAAATAGATCCAAACGAGTTAAAAAAGATGAATTTAATATGTTCAATAATAAAGAAGATCATGATGCATCAAAGTGGTCTAAAATTCAAAGACATATATCAAGAAAAGAAATTCCTGATTTGACAGATAATAGAAAACTTAAGTCTGATTGCGCTTTAATACATAGACCAATAGAAAGTGATGTTACTTTGCAAAAGTCCAAAACCAAAAATCTCGTTACATCTACAGTGAAGAAAAATGAAGAGAAACGTTATAAGCATACAAATATTCCATGTACAAAGTCAAGAAAAGAAAAATGTTTGGAATCCAAGCATAGAAGTTCAAGTAGTGACTCCATTTATTTAATGGATAAAGGAACGCGGTTACATGAAAAAATCTTAATTAAGGAAGGCTGTAAAGCCGTCATTTCTGATATTAACGATCGTAAATACAAAGACGATAGTCAAATTGTAAATACATCAAAACAATCTGAGGAACAAAAATATAAATCACACTCAGAAACAAGATTACAGAAGCATCAGACTAAATCTAATTCGTTTAAGCCTGTCGAATCATTAACACGAGATCAATGTAAACGTTTTTCAGACAAACAAAAATCTACAAGTAAAGTAGATTCAAAACATTCTTCAGAAATAAGTGAAGATCTTACAACTGCCGCTACATCGTTAGCTAGTTTAGTGAAAAATCAGAATTTAAGTATAGAGACATCAACTTCGTTACAATCCAAAAGCAAAGACATTGAAAAATCATCTCAGTCTAGCAGTAATCGTAATATAGAGGAAAGTAAATACTCTGACACATTTTCTCATGTTCCTACATCAAATCCGATATCCAGTAGTACAATTATTGAAACGAAAATTTCACAAGATAGCTCATTATCAGAAAAACTAATGGACCCAATAAGAATTTCTTTCAGAGACGATAGCTATTCAAATCAGCCTGAATTTGCCGACCTTGTTACTCCAGATATTAATCTTATGATTCGCTCCAAAAGAAGAAAACAAACTTTGCAAATATGGGAAAACGATAGTGAACAAAAGGATTCCAAGCAGAGGACATCAAAAAATAATCAAGATATAGATGAATCACAATCGGTAATTTATTTTATTTTAATATTACTTTCATTAATAAATATTAATAATATTACTGTGGATATTATATGTGGTTAATATTGTTAACATCGTTTGAAAAGAAATTATAATAGCGAATATGCAGTTTAATCGGTATACTGTGTAATGTCAATTTTGATAATCTTACAATAAATTCATGATTATTTAATGTAGGCTATTGCAACAAACAAATATTAACAAATATTTTATTGAGTATCTTTTACATTTAGTTTCTAATGTCAACTTATAAATAACATATAATTTTTAATTCGAAAAAGACTATTTATTAGTATTTTTTTTCATTTTGTTATTTACAATTCTAAATTTGATAAATATAACATGGAATAATATTTTACAACAAAAATTAAAATTTATATTTATCTGTCATTCGTTTAAATTTATTTTATTTCATCAATTAACTTTTTAATTTTTATTAATTCTTTGAGTTCATTTTGATAGAGAAAGAGTAGTAATATTTTCAATTGAATATTTAAATAATTTTTTCCTCTAATATAATGTTAAATACATTCTTTAAGAATAAAAGTATTAGCAGAATGTAAACATTCTTTGTAATTATTCTTTATAATTAATTGTAATACCTTAAGCTCCAAATACTTTTTATTAATAATATTTATAATGTGTATTCCCTTGCACACTGGCAATCGTTAATAGTATACATTAAATCAACGAATTTAATAATAAAATTAAATTCTATTGAATTCACTAGCAGTGTTATTAATTCGTTAATATGATTAAGTAAATTCGCTAATAAAATATTGAAAGAATCATGTTCGATTCAATTTAATAACGACGATATAAAAATACATCGAATTTAGTTGCAGAGTGATTATCAAGATATCGACTCCAAAAAGACCGAGGTTGAGTTCTTGGAAGATACAGAAGACAGTAAAAATAAAATACAAAAGCCTGCTATTAAAGTTGTCGAAGTGCAAACTCAAACTGCTAATGACATTGCGACACAAACGGATACAACACCTTGTCAACGTATCGTCAATACTAATTTAGCTTATTCGAGGCTCTCCATAGATCCAGACGAAGTACCGCATATTTCTTTGAATATAGAAGACAAGTACGAAGACATGGATCGAGTGGAAGATATTTCTCTTCCCAGCAAAATGAGGGCGATGTCTGAAATAAGTTTGCACGAAACAACTTCCTCGATAAAAACGGAAACCGGAACGGAAATTAGCATCTCAACGCGCGATGTTACCTATTCGTTCAACAAGTATTTGGATCTTGAGGTATATACTTGACCAATTAAAAACTTAGTTAATATGCATGCTTAGTTGCGTGACTTAAGCTTTAAGATTTGAAATAATATTAATTGAATAATTGTTGAAATAGCTATTAGAACACCCGTACAGTTAAAAAATTTCTTCTATAAGAATATTCTTTAATCTTTATGTAGTTTATCGAAGAATGTAGATTTCGATAACATGTGATTGCAAATTATCATGATACATAAAAAAATATTGTATTGTTGTTGTATTATATAATTATTAAGTTTATAAAAAAGTGGTAAATTTTTTACTTTGCTGAACATTGAAAAAATTAGATTTACGTGGAAAAAACGTTAGATTTATTTCGACAAGTGGCTTATCTTTTAATGTTTCGACAACGAAAATACTAAAATTATTTAATCAAGCGATTTTTAACATAGATGGCGCAGTTGATAAAAGACGAGAGGCAAAGGTACGATAAGATCGAAATGTTGTTTAAATCGCGCGAGAAGACGCTGAATGATCGAACTAAGAAATTAGTTAAACTCGAAGAACAAAAGCGAGCCCTAAGAGATACCGGACAAGATAGTAGAATAAGTTCTGTAAAAAAGAAGCAACGAGCTCTCCTTTTAAAATTACAACAAGAGAAGGATGAAATGAACAGGTAAATAAAATACCGAAGTCTTATCAATATATATTTGAACAAGTATTATTGTTATCTACATATAAAAGGTCTTTCTATACTTAAATTATAATCCAAAGACAATAGCATATAGCAATTATAATTGTTTCTAAAATTATGTTTTCATATATTAATTCATGTACGTAAATTATTTTGTTATGTATATTCAAATGATTGTTTTTCCTTTATTAATTACTATGTTATTCAATTCTCCGTTTAACTAACAGAAATTAGAATTTCATTGATTTTATTAATTTGTATTTTTGGAAAGTAAGTTCCAATGTATGCATATAAGTTTCATAATCACACATTTAGTAAGGAAGTAGACGAAATTTTTATTTGATATTTAATGACTAATCAATTATATTTAAGCAGGAATTATATCCTATATTTATGATATTATTATTATTATTATTATTATTATTATTATTATTATTATTATTATTATTATTATTATTATTATTATTATTATTATTATATTCGTAGAAATATATTAATTTATCAATATATATTTTAGATTTTTATTTAATATAGTTTGAATAAATATGATGTATATTAAGTTAAGAGACAGTTGAGAGGCAATGAAAGTAATTACAAACGAGATAATATTTGTCTGATAAAATTCTCGAAAATATTCGCGTGACTTAAAAAATGTTTTAACATTAATTTTATAGTAAAGGCTATTCTATTTTTAGGCTTAAAGAACTTCATAAAATTGCTAGTCAAGAAAGAAAACTCATGCTACAAAAGCAACGGGATATGTTCAATCCTGAGATGTCTACAAAGAATATTCTAAATAAGTTAAAAAGAAGTGCCGACAGTCAGTCGCCTAGACGACTCTCAGGTCCTATGAAGGGGTACGATATTCGAAGTAATTCGTCAGTAAGTTCATTAGTGGATTCCGATAAGTCACAATTTGATCGTTCTCAGGTCGATTTCAAATTAAATTTGTCGGACATAGCACCTCAGAAAAATGAACAAACTTGTTGTAGAATAGAATTAAATACATCATTAAAACAGGTAAATTTTTATAATATACATATTACGTACTCTCTATCGTTTAATAAATAGAAAAGTTTAAGTTTCGTTTGTTATATTGATACAAATGAGTCAATTGAATTTTATAAATTTCTTTTTATCATAATAAATTTAATTCTGCATAAAAATATATAGTAATGCAAAATTCGTTTAATTTATAGAAATAAATATTTTGAATTAAATAGTCAATAATTTAGAAATTATTAATTAATATTGATAATGATTTTAGGGTCTAAATAGTTCAGATAATGTTGATAAAAAATTATCGAAAATAGAGGCTAGCAGCAAGCAAAAAGAAGCAGCAGCAGCAGCAGCAGCAGCAGCAGCAGCAGCAGCAGCAAAGTTAAAGTACGACTTGAAGATGAGAAAATTCGAGGGGAAAATGCCAAAGTCTGATCAATTGAAATTGAAACCACAGCAATACGATGTTGATGCTATATTAAAGTACGGTTCGTCGGCTATTAACATGTTAAAGAATGAAAATCGGGCAAATTTGAGTCAAGACGAAGATAATAAATCAATTTCAGAACATATGAAATCAGAATCCGATGTCTTGATTGAAGAATTTACCCAGATGTGGAAATCACAATTTCCAGACTTACAAGCCGAGGTATTTATTATTAAATTGAATATGACAGATAATAAAAGAATATTTTTATATTCTTAAGTGAAGATTTAATTGTTAATTTACATTTCAAGAAATTTTATTAAAAAACGTAAGTTTATTTGTACGGAATATATTACATTAAATTATTTTTTTTTTTTATCAGAAATTCAATGATTTTATTTTACTTAGATTATATTGAATACACGTTTATTGAAGAATATTTTTACTTTATACGTATACTGTGACGATAATGCCGACGGTATAAATTATCTGAAATAAAATAGGGTTAAAATTCGGTTTAATCAAATAATTTTCTTCGATAGATCGACGAAATTTTAAACAGTAATTCGTTCACTGTCGAATTGGATTTGGTGAAGATATGAAATATATAAAGACAAAGATTAATAAATCAATAAATGTATTATTAAATAATTTAGTTCTATTATATTATAACTATCAGATTAATTGTTCCTTAATAAGCGAAATAGCTTATACATTGATTTTTTTTATTCTTTCTTACAAATATATTATATTTTAATTTATTGATATATAATTGATACTATTGAAAAATGTTAAATATTTTATAAAATAGAAACAACAGATTTAAAATCATTTTAAGCATATTGGGTGAATAAATTATCTTATTAAAATATAAAATAACTAATATTCATGTACATTAATGAAATTAGGTGTAACGTTATTATTTTAATTTGAATAAAGTAAACATAGTGAAAAACTAGTAAAAAGAAAAAAAGAAAAAATGTTTATGATGTTTTTGATTAGGTGAAAGTAAGTGTAAAATAGTTTAGCAAGTAGTTTAGCAATTTAATATTGATAGAAAATAATTCTTTTTCAGCAATGCAATAATTTATTATGTAAACATAAAAAATATTTCCTTTTTCTATATGAAACAGAAATTTAATATTTTGTTATTTTCTATTTAGTCATTAAACTTACTTGAAGCTTCAAACTCGCTAGAAGCTCTCGAAGAAATACAAAAGGCTTCTGCAACGAAGAAACTCGACAAAGAGACAATAAAAAAGTTACAACAGCACATGGCATGTGACAGCAAAAATATAAAACGAAAAAGTACGAAAACTCAAAGATCGAAACCAGCTCAAGTTGAATCAACGTCAAAATCCGAAGATTCTCATTATGTCGAAGAAACTTTCAAACATCACAATAAACGTTCTAAAATCGGTAGTGAGCAACAATCTGACGATAATTACCAGAATTCGATTCTCGAAGAGCTTGATTTTAACGAGAGTCAGAGTTCGTTACAGGCCCTTTTAAAGCACTCGAATCTATTGAAGGAACGAAATCAGCAGTTGTTACAGGATATCGTTGACGATCGTAAACACGTCGTCGCGGAGAACTCGGAAAGTCCATTGTCACAGAAAGAGGAGGAAGAGCACACGAGGAGGCGTAATGCTTCGTCAAGATCGCAAGTTAGTCTGACGATATCTCATCAAAGTTCGAACGACAGTGATCGGAGCTATTCGAGATCCGTTGTTATTAGGTCACAGCAGGATCATCATCATCATCGTACCGGTTTGAAAACGTCGAAAAAACTCGAGCAGTAAGTATTGTTAAGCGGAACTTGTGTTATCATGATACGTACGGTGGTTAAAAGTAAAAAAAAAAAGATAGTATATCCATTTGAATTATGGCCCTAACATACTTCATTATACTGTTTACTATATTCGGAATATGAAAAGAATCATTTTTATAATTTCAAATTTTTTGAGAATATTGCATCGCTTAGAAGCAACAATTGATTATTCAGAAAATGCACAAGCGAACTGTAATTTTTGTTTTCTGGTGAAAATGTGACACGTAGGAAATTTATTTAAAGTCAATCACAGCCATATTTCAATATTCAATATTTTTATTATTGAGTAGATGGTTAATATGTAAGAATAAAGTTGCTTCAATTGTCATGATTTTTAAATTTAAATCACGAACCTGTTCTTGCATCTGTATACACTTTAAACTATCAATGTTGTGATGTAGTAAATTATTAACTAAATTAACTTATTAAATTAAACGGTTAAATAAAACGGTATAGAAACGAAAAGATTTAAAATTATTTAAAAATTGTTGTTTAATCCAGTCGAAGTAGTTCTAGTAAATTCGAACTTTAAAAACTATACATCTTAGCAAATATTTTTGGAGGTCGAGTCAACATTCGCGACAATATTTATCAAGTACAAATAGACCAAAGACACACAGAAAGCAATAAATTAAAGTTTAAATTGCGCTACATTCGTACGATCGTCGATTCACTGGAGTCCAAACGAGAAATTACGTGGCAACGATGGCCAAATGTAGCCTTGCCGACGTCGCGCAGCCCCTTATCTCGCTTATAGATGCCGATATGAGGGGCTGGTGGTGTGGGAAACATAATGACAACCGCGACGGCGACGACGACGACGATGATGACGATGACGAGGTTCGTCCACGGCTCGTTGAACCACTGTGCGCCCGTAGGCGCATATAGCCGGCCACGCAGCTGCTCTAATAATAAACTCGTCGCGTGTACACAACACCGAACGAGAGCCTATAAAAATAGATTGGCTCTCGTTCCGCCCCGCGCCCGTCCCCTCCGCGATCCCGTAGCTCCATGTCGTCGTCGCCGTCGCCGTCGCCGTCGCCACCGCCGCTTTTCCGTTAAACTGGGAAAAGAGTCGGTGCGCGGGTGGGAGTGCGCGCGCGCCCGCCCTTACACGGGTGCGAGGATCGTCGGATGGGCCCGAGCTAACCACCCCGGTGTGTCCCGTCCTTACGTCCTTCAGGATACTCGACGCACGGGAAACGACGCTCGTATCGAGGCGCAATTGCGTGGAGGAGTGGATCGCCTGGCATGCGCGGCTACGCGAGGAGGAGAATCGCGTAGCACGAATGGAGCAGGCGGCCTACAAGCTCGTCACCGCCACCACCAAAGCACTATCCCATAATGGTGAGTACCCTCGTTTTAATGGTTAACCTGGGGTTGTCTTGCTTGTCACGATTGTTCACTCGTTAGCTCGCTCATTCGCTCGGTTCCCCCTTCTCTTCTTCTTCTCATTCTTCGCCTCCTTCTTCTTCTTCTGCTACTACTACTACTGCTAATGCTGCTACCTACTACTACTACTACTACTACTGCTACTACTACTACTACTACTACTACTACTACTACTACTACTACTACTACTACTACTACTACTACTACTACTACTACTACTACTACTACTACTACTACTACTACTACTACTACTACTACTACTACTACTACTACTACTACTACTACTACTACTACTACTACTACTACTACTACTACTACTACTACTACTACTACTACTACTACTACTACTACTACTACTACTACTACTACTACTACTACTACTACTACTACTACTACCACAACTACTACTATTATTACTACTACTACTACTACGATTACTACTACCACTACTACTATCACTACTATTACTACTTCTACTACTACTTCTACTACTACTTGTTCTTGTTCTTCTTCTACTTCTTTTCTTCTTCTTCTTCTTCTTCTTCTTCTTCGGGGCGGGCGCGGAGCAGTAGCTTTTGGGATATGGCTTTATTTAAACAGCGAGCGAGAAGCTGTGGACTCGCTCGCCCGTACCGCTGGATTTTCACGGTCTGCTCTTCGCAACATGCATGCCGTTCAAATATACCCGGGCTAATGTACTTTTATGCGCTGCTAATTGTGGCGTCGCCACTGTTTTTTGTACGTGCATTAAAGCGAGAAGCATTTCGATGCCTAATTTCATACCCGAGACCATTATTTTTGGATGAGTCAATACTAATGTTTGTCGCGATATGCTTTTCTTGGGCTTCTCTTAATTTATGCCGCTAAATCGGTCGTAATATCAGTTAGAGTCGTCTGCATTTTATTTGACTTGTATTGTACATTAAATGTCAAGCCAACTTTTCAATTGAATTTCTCTTTAGCACGCTTTCATAGATGGTAGCTTTGTAAAATGAGCGCTAGCAAAGTAACGTGGCAGATGAAATTTAAACGGAAATAATATATCGATGAAATGCTTATTTAACTAGACGTTAAAGTATCTTAAATTTGAGTGTGTAGGTTGTGGTGGTAATTGAGGGTAGCAACCGTTAAGAAATTTTTTTTGTATTTTATTAAAGCAAGAATGTGAATACAAGTAAATGATTCTTATTTTTCAAACTCTCTAGTATTTAAATGTCAACATGTAATTTAGATATTTAACATTAATTATTAGTATTTTTTAGGAGCAGTTTAATATTAATTGATATTTTTGTTAATCCTTATGTGGAGACTTGGACATCGCGGATTGAGAAATTTTTTTTATTTTTTTTATTTATTGTAATTCCAGTGATATGTTGTTTATATGGATACATTGGCTAACTCAATTTTATTTGAGACGTAATACCATCAACTTCAAATATATTAGAATATAGAACAATAAAAATGGAAATACTAATCAGTTGTAGAGTAAATTCGTCAGGAGAGAGTTAATTTAATGCTATATCGCATGCTCGTAACAATGATTGAAAATAATTGAAATTTGAAACAATTAATAATTATTTTTAAAAGTTTGCATGGCATACACATTTCTTATTTCCTAAAACATTGATTTCTCGTCTTGTGTTTACTTCTTACATAAACGATTAAAGTGTAAATGTAAAACATTTTTTCATTGTTTATTTAAACAAATTTCATTTTGCAAATAATGAATTTACAGACACAACAGTTTCCTCGGACACTAGCGACGTCGAGGGAAGAATCGAGCAGCTTACGCAAAAATTAACAGATCGACGCTTGGAGATGGCTCGACTTAAAAAAGAACTTCGCAAACAAGCCAAGCAGAGACTCAAAGCATTAGAAGCAAACTTACTAAATGAAATTAAGGTGAAATGTTATTTTTATAATAGTCTTTTGTATTTAGTTTTCTTCTTCTTCTTCTTCTTCTTCTTCTTCTTCTTCTTCTTCTTCTTTTATTAAATAGTTTAGATGTAGCCTCTTATTCTGTTTTTTATTTTATTATATTTTTTATACTATTCAAGCTGCAAAATTTATAATTATTGTCTCGAATGCTTTTATTTGCAGAAGTACGATGCCACCATTCATGATATGCGTAAAAAATTGGAATTGAGAAAGGGAGCTGCGAATAAGGAAATTCAAAATCTAGCCATCGAATCGAAATCTGTGGTGGATTTTAAAGTTCCCGAACTTCCCATAAAAAAAATACAGGAAATTTATAAAAGCTCTGACTTATTACGATCCAAATCCGACTCCGATATAGTGTCTGTAAAAGGTGATGGAACGAGTGATAAATCCAAAGACAAATTGAAGTCAAATTATATTGTAAAGAGTTCGTCGAGAACTAAAAATACGGAAGAATCAAAGCCTGCGTGTTCACTTTACAGCGTTTGCGGCGAAGAAAACGAATCTTCCGAAAAATCTGACTACAGCGCTATTCATTCGTACAAAACAAAATCTAGTGCGGAAGAAATACCTACGCAAAAGAGTGTCACTATTGAGGGTCACGAGATAAAAAGATCCTCATCACAAAGCAGTAATATTTCTGAAGAAATTCTTAGTGAAGTTGCTTATTCAGCAAAATCAGAAACGGAGCAAATCAAATCTGCTAAAGCTGCAGAAACACTTTCATCGCAAGGCATATCCGAGCGCATAGAATACAGCACAAGTGCAGCTTCGTCGAAAAAAGAGCTGAAAGAAAGTTCGAATATCGAAGAAGAGATAATACTCGAATCGTCGGATGATGTATCGTTAATATTTTCAAAAAAATTAGATAATATTCAGTTGCACAATAAAGAGCTGAATGACGACATACATAATTTGGAGAATGATCTGAAGGAATTGACAAAGCTGATGTCCAACTTCAGTAAAAAATCTGATGACAAAAATTCCAAGTCAGAAGTTACCGACACTTTAAAGACCATTGAAAAGAGCACTTCTAAAGATATTTCGGAAGAATTGCCAGCATCCCAAATGGTTGCACAAATTAATAATATCGACGAGGACTTACAAGCAAGGGTTAATACAATTTTGTCCAATGTAATCCCGGAAACAGATGATTTACTAATCTCAATAGAAGAATTCGATACTAAAGGTAATCACGAAAAGGGCGCAAATTTCAAAGTAACATCCGAATGTATTGACAAATCGACAATAACCGAGGACATTCCTACATATTTATCTTCTCATACTGGCGAGCTTAAATTATTATCCATTGCTAATCATAATAACGAAGAAAGTTGTGTATCCGAAGTCATATCAATAGCTGTGGACGAAGACAAAGAAAACACTTCACCAAATGAGTCTCACTACTTAATACCAAAAGTATCGAAATTGCCAGATGGCGTTAGTAGCAATCAAATAGCAACCGAATGCTTACAATTTGATAAATCGGTCAATAAACGCGTACAAGATAATAAAATTACTAAGTGCATGGAGTTTAATGAAACTGAAGCCGTTGTTTCCTCCAATGCAGCCATTCCATTGAAAATGAAAAAAGATGAACTTACAGAGGATAACGTTTACACAACGGTCGGAGACAAGCACCTAGATACTGAAATTTCTACGGCTGAAGATATTTCCATAGATGAAGATATATCATTGAAAATTGATGACGTAGAAACGTCGGAAGACCAGAATTATACACCAATTGACAGTAAGCCTACGGAGATTAATACTACGCATGATAATGATACTCGTGCAGATTACGTTGTATCGGAAAAGAATGAAAAGCAAGCTAAGGACCGTCAAATTTTTACTGAAAACAATGATAAGTATATAGACTCTAAAATATCTATTCTCGAAGACATTCCCATTCATGAAATAATTCCTTTAAATAATAAGGAAAAGGAAGCGGTTGAGGATGAAATTTATACGATAATCGAAGATCAACGTATTCGGTCTAAAGCTTCGCTCATTGAGGAAGTTGACAAAGCTTTATTTAAAGAAAATGTACAAATTGACAATTCACTGATTAAGACTGCTGCAACAAGTAACGGATTGGATTTGTCCAATTCCTTTAATTTTCAGTGCACCGACGATAAAGGTTTTAAATTATCTCATCTACAATCGAAGCAATCGTCTGATTTAAAATACTTGAAGAACGAGGACGGAAATGAAATCAGTGCCTTAGAGGACTCGCTAATGTTCATTCCAAAGGGCGAATCAACAAATCTTCAAGAAACTTTCGTACTTAGGTTGGAAGATTCGAGTGAGTCGCGAATTGGAATTTGCTCGGAGGAGTTCAACGATATCCTTGAGATTATAGAGAGGGAGACGAAGAACGACGATGTGAGCGTACCAAGTCCCGAGATTCAAATTGTAAAAGATGAAAATTTGTCGCAAGTAGATGTTAAAATCGAGAGCCCAATGAAGCGCGATGTTGTGGCGAGGATAAAGACAAAAGAGGATGAGTCCAAGAGCATCGAGGAAGAAATAGAAAGTGAAATTAATGCGAGCATTTCTGAAAACATCGAGGGTGAACGCCTAGTCGAGGATGAGGATGAGGATTTACCTCGGATAAAAATTGCAGTCACTGTAGAAGTGATTGACGAAAAAGAGGATATAAGTACGAAAATCGAGAAAATCGAGAAAATCGAGGTGAATACAATTCAAGAATCTAACGGAGAAGATCGAGTAAGTTCGGATGGGGAGCAGATGGATAATTTGATCGAGGTAGCCGAGGGTAAGTTGGAGACTCTAGAAAAGTTAACCATCTCAAATGAGAAAGAAACGGTGGTCGAAAGCGTTGAAAAAGTCACGGAGCAACCTAAAACGCACGTAAAAACCTTTTTGGATAAGACGTTCGAAATAATAAGAGATCCAGAGTACGAGGATATCTCGGAAGAAAGCCTCGAAGTATCGGAAATTCTTGATAGAACGGAGACGCGCGCCAGTCAAAAGAAGAAAAAGTTCACAACAATTCCCGAAAAGTACATTAGCAAATCGAAGTCTGACGAAGTGCTGCGTATATTGGATGACATATCCAACAAGTCGTCGAGCCATTATAAAAAAGACAATCGTGACAATCGGCTTAATGTCGATGGCAGCAGGGACTTTAAATCATCCTCGGTGGCCGAGCTCCAGCAAAAGGACGAAAATGGTCCTCTCCTATCCTCGACACCAGTGGAGTCGCGCAATCACGAAGTGACGGCCGCGAAGTCGAGCAAGGAAGTGGAGCCTGAAGCGAACTCGTTGGAGGATCTGACGAAGGAAGATGAGCCAATCACTACCGAGGGAGTGAAAACCAGCGAGGATGAGGGGAATGCCCAAGTGAAGGAAGACTCGCCGAGAGTAGTCTCGGACACGAGCGAGACCGGGGACCTCGATACGCCCCGCGGCGTCTCCGAGATCGAGATAGACTCGCCCCGGGACGCGAATGATGATTCGCGCCTCGACGTCGAGGCTCTAGACGACGATTTGCTCAGTGGTAATACATTACTGCTGCGCTCGCACGACGATGATGTTAAGGCAGAATTCCGCACGACACCGATGGGCGCGACCTCCGAGAAGGACATCAGAGCTATGATCGACAAACTCAAAGGTAGTTTATTCCGTATACTTTATCCAGCCTTTTCTTTCTTTCTTAGTTTACTGGTTTTAATTTCTTCTTTATTTTTCTTTCCGTGGCTGTACCGTCAACAATTTGACGATTCAGCGACGTTGCAAAATGCCAAGTCCGATGAATTACGTTAAACTAAAAACTTAATTTCGAGAAAATTGCGCACTTGAATTTCATTTATCGATATTGTAATTTTATAGATTCGTTATGCTTTGAATGAATATCGAGGTTAAAAATAATTTTTTCTTGCCGTGCTTATGAGGATCGTGTATCTATCTATCTATCTATCTCCCTTCCTCCAGGGGCTTCGAACAATAATTTTTCTTATACAAACGCGAATACTTCATTTCATTCAATCGAAATATTTCATTAAAATTATTAAAATTCTTGCAATGAGAATTAGCTTAAAATAGATGAAAAAACAATTTTCAATTTGCAGTCATTTACGTAAATATAACAAAAATTGAAAAATATTTCTCATCGCTGTATAGAACGCTATATAGACATTTTTTTATCATTAGACAAGTAGTAAGCTGTGCGCAAAATTTAACAATATTTCTCAATGTCTAGTTTACGCGTGCAAAATTGATTTAAATAAAACCTGCCTTGGGCAATTATTGATAAAGTGTGCTTAGATAAAGAAAGTACAGCATGTACATGTTAATCACTTAAAATTATTTTGCATTACATATATCAGCAAATTATAATTCAATACGTAATATGCTTTGTTTAAGTGCGTTAATAAATCATATGATTAATTCAATTTTAAAAGCTTTTTGATGAACTTGATGAATAGTGATTTTAAACTGATTTTTACTATATTCATTCGTAATGATTGATTACGAATATTTATGGGGACTCGATCGAGGCTTATAAATATTATTGGCATTTTTATACACTTACTTTCGGATGATTTTAACGTTGTTTTATTTTATTGAGAGATATTGTTTGTACTCGTTGAATGCATTTTGCACATGTATTAATGTAAACAGTGTAAAATTATTGTAAATCTCAGAATGGAAATTTAATTGGAAACACAGTAAAACGGACAAAACTTTATTATACATTTTTTTACTTTTAATTATTCATTATAATGGCTGTGTGCTTTTATGCAAAAAGCATTGCCTGGTATAGCAAATATGTTGTTTATTTTACAGAATAGCAAAGTCGAGATAATATTTATCATGAAGGTAATTTATATATATACGACAAAATTTGGAATGAGATAAATCATTGACTTGTCTTCTTTGTACGAATTAGGTGTCGCATGAACATGCTTGTCCGTTATATATTTTATTATACATTTATAAGTTACCTATATATATATATATATATATATCTATATATCTACTTATTTATCCAACTATATCCCCCCCCCCCTCTATATATATATATATATATATATATATACATATAGACATTTGCAAATTTACATGTATATGTTTATGTAAATGTATATGTGCACAAAAAGCCTGTAAATTTGCGTCACACGTATATATATATATATATATATATATATATATATACGTCTTTTCCACCACCGTTTTCTTTTCTTTTTAAATCCTTATAAATATTTTACATTTTACGTGTAAGTAACGTGAGTACGATTTATGAATGTATCGGTCTTGATGATGTTAATTTTAGCTTTTACTCATATAAGATTGATTTGCTATTAATAATGTATTTTTAATTATTTTAATTATCACAAATGTATAATATGTATATATTTAAATTAGTAGCCCCTTTATTTAGAACTTTATGCCTGCCTAATGAATCTTAATTTATTAAATTTAATTTGTACTTTATATTATTATTGTTGTTGTTATTATTATTATTATTATTATTATTATTATTATTACTTTTTAAATTTATTCTTTAATAATGAAATTCGAAGATTCGGAAATTAAGTATGATATGCATTATGATTTGCATTAAACAAACATCCTCCAAAATTAATTTATTCTAATGTCATTTTTCAGACCGAAACTTTCTACTTTTCAACGTAGATTATAATATCTTTGAAATTAAGATTTTCGATAAAGATATACATATATAGAATTCTAAAGGAATGTTTCCAACACAGCTTTAATTATTTTTTCATTTGCATCAAAAATCTCTTTCCCACTTCTTATTATATATTTTGATAATTAATTTTTATCTTCCTAAAAGCACTAAGAATTAAGTATATATATATATTTTTAATATCCCTTAAATATACGTACAATAAGTATGAGAATATCAAATATGAATCGCTTCTTACCTGAACGATCGTATCAATTTTATACAAAGATATTTTAACAATTTTCTTTATGATCAGCTTCATTGGAACAACCTGGTCTGGAAGTTGCCGAACTGGATGCTAAGTTACTTCAATTAGAGCATCTTGAAATAGAGCTTGAGGTGAGTTTATCATATTTTCACTAATTGCCATCGTCATTAGCATTATTACGTTTACGCAAAAAGAATATCATTAAAAAAAGAATGGAGAAAAGAGAAAAAAAAATAGAGTGAAATAGTGCCAAAAAAAAAAAAAAAAAAAAAAAAAAAAAAAAAAAACAACAACAACAACAACAACAACAATGGAACACTAATTAAGGAATAATTCGTTAATTAAGGTGATGCTTCGTTCCAACTGTCATTATTATAAATCGCTCAATTGGCGGAAATAATGTTCTCATTGTCTGCAATGGCGGAGCATCTTCGGGACACTGTATTAGTTTGCTATAGAAGCAACACGGCTAATCGTTTGAACGACTTCGATCAAACGATCGCTGTTATATATAGAAGTAAAAGGGGGGTGGGGGTGGGGGCGACTCGTAGTTTAAAAACTAGCTTAACGCCAAGTTTAATCGATAAAGACACATCTTCTTTGTTGGCGCAGATAAAGAAGCTGGAGGCTGAGGAGTCGTACTACGTACGCGAGATCCCGAATAAGCCGCCACCGCCGTACACCCCACCCGGGGCTGTGCGACTCGCGAGCTCGCACGGCTCGCCCTCGCCACCGCCGGCCGTCATCCCGAGTAACGTCGACGAGCTCACGGCTATCACGGAGAGGGCCACGAATATCATCTATAGGTCCAAGGAAATGGGCGAGGAGGTGCTGATGCTGGATGCGCCGAGGGAGATTTGCGAGCTGGCCAAGGACAGTGGCAGCGAGACCCTGAAGAGCGACCGGCGCGTATACAACAGCTTCCTCTTCGACCTTTGCAAGGAGCTCGTCGCTGAGATGTACAAGTCCGAGCACGAGGGTCCGGGCCCCAGCTGGACGAAACCCAGTGTACAGACGAAGCCGAGCACGAAGGTAGCGAAGACAGCCGAGGAGCTAAGCGAGTACGTGTCACGCGAGGTCGCTACTCTCTTTGGCTTCAAGACCAAGCTCCAGCGCGAGAACATGGTGATGAGGTGGAGCCGCAAGAAGAGGGACATGGTCGACGAGCTCTTAGCCAAGGAGGCGCAGGCCGAGGAGAAGGAGTGGACCAAGTTCCATCATGACGAGCTGGCGGTCAAGAACAAGCTCACCACCAGGATACTCGACACACTCTTGCTCGAGACGGCGAATTGCGTCAAGTCGGCCTATGCCAAGAAGCGCACTATCGCACAGTTCTAGCACCGATTATGGACTTTGCGAAGCGGTGTTCAGCACGGTAAAGGAGATGCGCGCGCCTCCTATAAATACACTTTAAATTGCCGCTGCGGTGAAAAAAAAAATCGCCCGCTCCCTTTAAGCCATTGTTGCTTATTCTTTGGATTATTTTTGTGAAAGGTTTATCGAATTGTCGGGCCCGGCAAATTTCACTATATCATTATATTGGCAGATAATTTGCAATCGTCTCTTGTTCAACCATTTTTATATCGGTATATATCTCGATTATTTATTTATTTTCGTTGAATCACTTTTAAAATGTGTCTTGCGCCGAAAAATACATTAAACAATTTTTGCCCTCTTATGTTTTATTTTTGATATCATAACACGAACACTTATAGGTCCCACGTCGCCTAACTGCCAGTCAAATCATTCGATGCTTAATTTGTAATTCATATTTTGAAAATTCAATCTCTATAAGCTTGAATTCTATTAGCTTGTCCCCTTATTAACGCGAAACGAGCTTCTTTCTGAATGTCATACTATCGAGTGATACAGATTTATTTATCTTGGTCGCATTCGTTTATCAAAATATTAGAATTAGTATGGGTAATGATTGTAAAATTTTGCTACTGCAAATATTAAATATTCAAAAAGAGCTTAACACACGTTATAATATAAATTGTTTGAAAAGCAATTACAACGTTTCAAGAATTTAAAAATTTTTTAGCTTTTTGTTAATCTCTTGATATAAGGCATATTTTTCTAAATATTCTACAACAAGAGAATTGCCCTAATGAAATGATATAATCATATTTTTAAATAAATTTATAAACAACACTATGCCTTTATTAAAAATAGTAGAAATTTCTGCCTTGACGTGGTGATTTTTAACCACCTTAACTAATAGATACTTAAGAGTATTTTTGAATATCCTAGCGTCTAAACCTGTGTTTATTGTTTTTAAAAATATGTTCTCAAGATTTTCTAGAGGATTCGTTAAACATAAGAAAGTGAACGTTTACATAATCTAATATAATTACGTGATTAATTTGAAGCAAAATCACACAGAAAAAAGAAAGAAAAAAAAACCCAATCAAAAGTTATTAATTTTTTGAGTGCATAGGACTAATAAATTTAGTTATAAATTAAAAAGTAAATATGACCTTTGGTATAAAATTATATATATATATATATATATATATATATATATATATATATATAAAAGAAAGAAAAAAAAAAAAAAAAAAAAAAAAAAAAAAAAATTTATAAAAATTTTCTAGCAGATAAAGTGTTTTTATAGAATTGTAAGATTAAATTAAAAAGTTTTGTTTGTTTTTATACAAGTTTGAAAATAATTTATCGATTGTTCCGTCGACTTAGCGTTTGTATTTGTATTTACGAGATGAAGCATTTTGCTTCTAATTGTCTAGAATGAAAAAGTTAAACATAATAATTATAATTATGATAAAATTATAAGCATAGAAATTAGAAGCTTTTAAAAATTTCTGGACTTTTGTCAATGTATGATTAATTACTATAATTAGATCTTACTCTGATTTTACATAAGAAATAATCTTAAAATCTCAAACATCGTACATTTCAAATATCAGTGTACAATAACTTTTTAATATGTCTATTTAACTATCCATATCATTGACTCAAAAGTGGATCTTTATATTAAAATTTAATATAATATTTTATTAAAAAAAACTATAGGCATAACAACACAGAATATAAAATAAATTTAAGATTAGATGTTGATGCAGATCCATAAGCATTAAAATAAAAGTATAAATAAAATAATCCAAAGAACAAGCCCGGTAATTTATTATTCGTTTTTAGAACAAAACTTAGTAAGTTATTTCATAGTATTTTTTATTTATATGTGTTAAAAATTAATATATGCTTTTTTCAAATATTGTTTGTGTAAATATATTAATCGTATTATATTTGCTAGTGAATATGAAGTTATATGAAGTTTAAAACAGTGACAATCGTTCGATGATGATGTGCGAGCTTTGATTTTCTTTTACCGTGCTGAAGACAAAATTGGAATCATACGAACTTTCATTGTAAAATAAAGGTTGCACAGTTGTTTTGCGTTAGCTCTAGCGACGATAATCATTATCTAATTGTTCATTAATAATTCGTCCAGAGATTACGTAGACGAAGACGTAAATCATTGTTAAAGTTTACATACACTTACATATAGGCTGGTTCCTATTTGATTTGTTAGCATTTTTCACTAACTTTTCCTTTCATGCCTCCTTGCACCCACGAAATACATAAATAAACCTGGATGCGCGCGTTCTTTCGTTATACGGCCAATACGTACAATATTAAATTTTCTTTCCCACCGATAGACAATGAACCATATAGTCAGACTGGATTCTTAAAATTATACGATGTATCAAGTGCAAGTGCACCGTGTAAGGGCGAGATAGTCGGATTCGAAGCGAAATTTATACAGTGCAATGCGAATGCCAAGAGTGCACAATGCAACTTACGTAAATAAACAGTTCTTTCGCTTTTCTAATTCTCATATATACCGTTATGTTGTAGTAGTGATTGACAGATTTATATGGGGGTTGAGAAATAATGAGCGCGTGCGTGTGCGAATGCGTGAATGAGAAACGGTGAGGAAGAGAGAGAGAGAGAGAGAGAGAGAGAGAGAGAGAGAAGATGCGAATTGTATGAGGGTTATCTTGGATGCATGAATATATAAAAGAGCGTAAGAGAGAAAATATTTGTAAACTAACGAGCAACTATGCGAAGTCTTAGTTTTTATAGTTCCGATTTTTAAATGTATCCGGGGGTTTATTATCATCATTACTATTATTATTAATATTATTAACGCGAGCCATGCTCAATTTGTATTTACTAATAAAATTAACAAACCTGTAAGACTGATGTTTCGGGGCCATTTTAATCGATGAAAATTTCTGTAGATTTTCCTTAAGAAAGCAAAAAAAAAAAAAAAAAAAAAAAAAAAAAAAAAAATTGAAGGAAATGTGAAATAAATAAAGGCTGAAAGACGCAGGGTGACGTTCTTAATGCGTTGATTCCGAAGATGCTACTTCGGTGATAGTATTGACAACGAAGGGTAATCATTATTTTTTCTTTTATTGTAATGTTAGAAATGTCTCTTTCGCAAAGGGAAAATGTAAAAGTAAAATCATTATAAAATTAACGAAGTTATACATTCTTAAGAAATACAAGGAAAAGAAAGCTTTCTGATTTTTTTTTTTTTTTTTTTTTTTTTTTTTTTTTTTGACTCTTATTGGGAGGCCGTTCCATTAACAAATGGACGGTAATTGTTTTTTTTTCTTATTATTTTTATTTTTGCGGCATTTTAAATTGTCTTTGTGACACTCGTTTCACTTAAATTTGTTTTTTTTTTTTTTGGTTGTGATGTACATAGCATTAAGGAATGCTCGAGTGTATGAGTTGTCTTAAGATATGTATAGTAAAAAATCTAGAATTGTTTTGACAATTTTACATTTTACATTTTTTCATTTTTTGGTTTAACGACACGCGTATGAAATGTGAGAGATCCGTATACTGTATAGTTCATGCTTAAGCTTAGAGTGCAACTTGTATGGGACTGTATCCATACAATACTAGATAGATTGTTATCGACAATGTATTGTATGTAAAATTTGTACTTAACTAAGTTCTAATATATTTTATAATAAATAATGCTGGTGATTATTATTTCTCTACCGTCATTCCATTTTTACTGTATTCTGTATTACGTGTATGCGCCATTAAAAACGAGTCTTAACAATATTAATATTGAAAGGCACTTACTTCTCTTTAGGGCAATAGTTTAATGCAAAGATAATTAGTTCCAATAGTTCCAATTTAAAGTAATGAGATATGTTTGTATAATTTTAACGTAATAATATCAACGTTACCTTAACTAGTGTATTTTATAGTATTATGAATGTAAGGTATCAGTAATATTAAATTATTTATTTGTATTAAATTTTGCTTTTCGGATTATCAATAATTGAAGAATAAATACTGGATTGTTGTTAACATTAATAAAATAAATATTCAATGATATTAATGTATATTGATAGCAATAGTACAAGTAATGTCGTTTAATACATTATTATTTAGATTATAACAACTAGAAGTTTCAGCTAAACTAAAATTATAATTATACTAAATATAATTCATTTATTTGAAGGAAATTTATTGTGGTTTCATGCAATATATATTACGTATTAATTATTTTATTAATATTATACATACAATTGTCAGTGGTAATGTGTAGTAATTAAATATCCAATTACTAATTAAAGTAAATTATTCTTTACGATATTTAATAATACAGATGATTTTCCCATGTGGGTAGATATAATAAAATTATATTTCTTTTTCCAATGTAAATATGGTAAATTTTTCAGCAAAATTGTTAATTTATGTCACAATAAGTGACTTGAAAAAGTAGAATAATTATAAAAGCATGCGGTAGGGTTAAATCGAGTGAATAAAATAAAAACAACAACTTAGTAATTTCAAGTCTTCCAACCCCATATTTATTTCGGCAATGCCTTTTATATGAAAAAGTACAACACCATTTTTCGAAAGGGACGATATACACTTTTTTGTTTGTTCAAGGGAGCAAGAGAGAGAATGAGATAGAAGGAAGTTAAGGATGGTTGTCGAGGCGGCAGAGGGGGATAGTGCAAAAAGGATTTCTCAAGAGAATACAATATTTTTATATATAATTATTTAAAATGTATAGCGTTTAAAACTTAATGGTAAAAAATATGAATTTTTTTTTTTTTTTTGCTTATATCCCATAGTTATTATATGTATAATCGACGAATAGAAATCAATAAAAACGAAGTATGCAATTACATTCAAACGTTTTATGTATTGTAGTTAATTCACGAGTGAATTATCGCTTATACTGTATATAATATATCAAAGAAAAGATAAAGAAAGTATGTGTATTTCTGTAATCTCTTGTTATTTCTCTATTGATGAAAAACTGGGAGCGTGATGTGCTCTATTTGTTTAACTTGTGTATCAGCAAAATTTGTACAGGGTGCACACACAATACATGTCT